ACACACACACACACACACACACACACACACACACACACACACACACAGGTATACATATATGCATGCACACACAGTCACACACACACTCTTACACACCAATTCCAATCAGGCTGGACTGTGCTTCTAAGGAGATCATTGAAGGAGAAAAAAAGTTCCAGATTTGGGTCTTATGCATGTGAGGCACATGAGAGATGTTCTCACATAGCCAAACTCTTAGGAGTGCCTCTACTGAGTGTTAGCCCTGTTATTTTGTTTCATGTCATGGGCAACAGCAGAGAGCTGTGGGGTTCATGTACCTTGTATCACCTTATGCTATGCAGCTGTGAGCTCTGTGGAATTAAGAAGTTGAGGTCATTTACCTGAATGAGAGGAAGTGAGGGCTGAAGATACAGACTTAAGAAGAACCACGCACGACCACAATCATCAAACTGTTATTTATTTCCAATCTTTCTGCCTTCTTGTCCAGGAACAGTGGCTAACAGTTTCAGTTTTTTGACTGGAGCTGGAGCCCAGCAGGGCTGCAAGCTCAGGGCAGGCTCTGAAGGGACCAAGTTGCAGTGCTCCACTCTGCTGGTTTCTGTGACGGAGAACAGGCACTATTGGCATCTCCCCAGTTCCCTCCTTGTTTTCCAAGGCTTGAACTGAGCTCATCTGAGCTAATGCTGGAGGTAAGCTCGCTCATTAGGTGGGCGCCATAGTACGGGCCTGCGTTTTCCACAGCAGTGCACACAGGCAGCTGATATAAAGAACATGTTCCCTCACACTGCTGGTAGCAGCAGTTCAGCGTCACCTGGGGCCTTCTCAGGGATGGCGGCTCCTGCTCATCACCAGGCAAAGAAACAAAAAGAAGAGCAGAGGGCAGCAGCAGCCTTGGCTGCTTCATTCCCTCCACTGTGCCTTCTGAGTGGCAGCAGCCACTCCGTCCCACCTCCACCCATTGTCAGCCCCGGCGCTGACCCCCCACATCTTTGCAGGTCAGTAGCTGGCTGGCTCATTTATTGGCTACAGCAGAGAGCTGGTCCCGGATGCGGCCCAGGCCATCTAACATGGTGTCCAGCGTTTCTTTGCTCAGCTCCATGGTCACAGCCGAGATGGAGGGTTTGTCTCCACACAGACTAGGATCTTCTTGGATCTGGAAGAAGAATGTGGTCCAGAAAGTCAAGGCTGCCTGGCTTTCTTTCTCACGGAAAGTGAGCCCTATCCAGTTCTACGGGCTCCTAAGAGAAGTGAGTGTAGCGGAGAATCCCAGCCTCCCATCCTTTAGCACCTGACAGTGAAGGAGATGCCCAACCAGGTCGCTCCTGCTGCAGGTGAGTGAAGGCTCATTTACATGCCCAATACCAGGTCTCAGCACGCAAGTGAGAAAACACTACCTGTTTATACCACATTTTGACAAGCAGGCTCTATGGAATACATAAAACAACTGGTCAATGAAGAGCAAAGTTCCAAATGTACTTATTTGCTCTTAGAAGAAATGAAATGTCACTTATTGCATTTTGAAAGGGACCTGTTAAAGACACTTCCTTGTCTTCTATAGATGTTGAATTTCTGGCATCTGGGGAAGTGGCTATAGCATGTACCCTTCTAATTTTAACTCACAAATCCTACCAAATGGGTATGGGCCTTTATCAGGTTCCGGAAAAGAACAATAAGGTGAAGATAATGAGACAGGGCATGTGAATAGGAAAATGAAGTGTTCACCAATCGACTGCCAACAGACACTTGGGCTGGGCTACGTACGGCAGTGATGGCCCAGTTCTGTGGGACAGGAAGCTAGTGAGAGGCTGGCTACTGGGTGGATCTGAAGGGCTAGCTGACATCTACACGTGTAACCCTGCTGATAAAGCTGGGCACCTTCAGACACAGCACATCGTCTAAGAAACACAACATTCTGCACCTGTCCTGAAACTTCGGCTTTTACCTGGCCCTGCAGGTATCACTGATAAGCACCACATTTGGGTGCTTATTATTGTTATTATCATTTTTTACCTTGACTGCTGGTGTTTTCGATGGCTGGGGGGGGGGGTCAACTCGCTATCATTCCCTCTTTCCTTCTGAGGGGCTCGACACTGGCCATACCTTCATCTGGAGCAGGCAGGTGGGGACAGCCATGCGGCTGATGCTGTCTGAGGAGGTTTTGATGTCCACTCTCCAGTCCAGGTCCATCAGGCGTGGCAGAGAGACTGTGGAGGGGGCAGTTTTGATCAGAGGCTATACCACCTATCTCTCCTGGGCTTTTATCTGATGACAGGTGACTGTAAGGAATGTATACATATGATACATCCGGTCTACAGGTCAGTCTCAGAAAGAGACAGGGAGGGCCTCGGACCTACAAGTTGTGCCTGACACACTGCTTTTGCTGCCACTCCCAATGAGTGCATCTCCAGACACTCATACTCCAGATGCTGAGACAGAGGGACAAGTGACACAAAGGAGAGATGCAGCCACAGCCTGAGTCGTAGAGGAAGGGCAACTTCAGCAACAGTGCTAGAAATTTTGTCTTACAGAAGACATGGCCTTGGGTTGAAGGCCCCAGCCTGCCTCCTCATCTAGAAGCCTGGACAGCAGAGCAGCTGGGATGGGCCAGCGCAGACACAGAGCTCCAGCTGTGTGACTTGCTGAAAGTCAGTGCAAGGGCAGTCACTCAGCACGTATAAAACCTCTTGAAGCAATTTCAATGCCTATTCTCTCCTTTTTGCAAATCACACACACACACAATCCTCATTGTTTATATTCATTGTACATGGTACTGTGTTGCCTAAGGTCACTGTCATATGCATATCTGTTGAGCACATCCCACCCCATACCCATTTCCTTCTTTCTCCTCCTCCCCTTCCTAGCCAGCTTTGTTCCCCTCTTTATTTTTGTCTTAACTGACACATACTTTAGGTAATTCACCTTCTGCTTAGGTATTTCTGTTAGAACCTGCTTCTATCATAACATATAATAATAATAATAGTAACGGTGATAATAATAAGTGAAATTTAAAAGGTACAACACAGAGTGTGATTTGGGACTGGAAGAGCTCTCTTTGATCTGTGGTCAAGTTCTGGCTTGGGGGACTCAGGGCTGGCACTGAAAAGCAGGGTCAAGGGGGGGGGCAGGTGCCTCAGTACTCACTCTGGTTTGTTTGGGCTTCGGTTCTCCAAGTAGATCTGTTTAAGAGGGAAAGATAAAGAAGAAACAATGGGAGAGCAATGAGGGTACACTTTCTGGTAATGATGGACCCAGACTTGTGGCCTCTTTCCAGGAAAAGGCCTCAGAAACCCCTCCCTTCAAAGGCAGTTTTTTATTGTTTTACAAAGCTCAGTGATGGTAAGGCCCAAATACTGCTGGGAAAACAAACAAACAAACATAAAAGGCATGGAACGAAAGCGACCCTAACAGAGGACTCTGGCTCAATCTGTGGGACCCATATGATCAAACAAGAGAACTAAGTCCTGCAAGCTACCCTCAGACCTCCCTGTCACCACGGCATGCCCCGCAGCCTTCCAAATAAATACATGTAATAAAAGAAACTTTAAAGATAATCAGAAAGCTTAATGTGTTGCGATCCCCTTATGCTACTGGTCTCAGAGAAAAAACAGAAATGATCAATTCACTCTTTCTCCCCTGTAGACCTACCGTGAGTACCGCATCATATGTAAAACACACCACACAAGCCTGCCAATGCCAGAGCAAGCAGCATCAGAGTGAGGTGCCAAGCAGTCTGAATAATATGTGGTCACGTGGGAGAGTTCTAAATAAGCAACAGAGCCCTTGGTAAGCAGCCATTACCAGTCGCTGCTGCTAGCCCCCCTCAAGCTGTCAGCTAGACAACAATCACTTCTACTTAAGATTCATGCTGAAAAGTATCTTCCCAGCTTAGAAGATACAGACAACTCACAAAATAAATTTTTAAAATGACCAATAAACATGGAAAAAAGACATTCAACATCTCTAATGTCAAAAATTAAAAGCTAAAATGAGCTACCACTTTGCAGCCAAAGACCTGGGGAAAGCAAAGAAGTCTCCACGCTGTGACACCAGGCTCTGAGGGCCAGGCCTGCAATCACAGCAGCAGAAACAACAGGCTCCACATGCTAGGCTAACCTGGGCTACACAGGGAAACCTAATCTAAAAAAAAGTGTTGCAACAATGCTTCTGGTAGCCAACTTGATATTATTATCAAGGCAAAAGCCAGTATGTTCCAGTATGCACATGGCCTTTATGCCAGTTAGTGAATAACTGCATACATAACAAAGTTCCTATCACAAATTGTTTTGGGGAGAAACTGCCAATATCTTAAAAGGTTAACCTTTAGGGAGTTAAAAAAATGATACCAAATTCCTCCATGTAATAGAATATACTTTACACAACTATTAAAAATGACCCTAAGGTCATTTACTGAAGTGTCATCAATATTAATACTGTTTGCTGAAAATATGCAACCTATAAAACAGTAAGGTCCTGTCTGTTAAAAACAAAACCAAAAGATCATCTGTTCTCTCTCTGTATATATATGCAAAGAGAAGCACCAGGTTCTCAATTTCAAGCCAGCAGTGGGAGCACACACTTGTAATCTCAGCACCTGGGAGGTGGAGGAAGAAGGAACACAAGTTCAGTGTCATCCTTGGCCTCAAATGGAGTTCAAGGCCAGCTACATGAGACCCTTTTGCACATAACAAAAATAAGCACACAAATAAATAGCTTTCCATTAAAGAATGGATGCAACTGACCTCTGGGTGTGGGATTATAAGTGTCTTACTTTCTTCTATCACTTATCTGTATGCATTTTCAACCACAAACTTATATTATTTCTACAGGAGTAATAAATTATTACTAACAATTACTAAAGTTAAAGAGAGACTCAAAAGCACACACTTACATGTGCTCCAGGATGATTTTTGTCAGCAGGTTTTTGAGGTTTTGGTGGAAATTTTCTGGAAAGAGAGCCAGAATTGGCTCAGCAGAGGACAGGTCTCGGAACGCCACCAGCCTCGTAAAGTGGTGCAGGGCCTGGAGCAGCTGTAGGAGAGACAGGGCAGCCATGTAGCTGCAGGGCGGAGGCAGCAGGGTACACACAGAAGGGCAGGGGTGGAGTGCTGTACTCACCCATGGGGTGCACTACCAAAGTCACATGAAGTGTGGGGTCCTCTGTAGCAGATGCTGACACCCAGCATGACTTTGCTAGTTCATTGGTTCTTTCAGAAGACAGACACAGCTACCTGACTTAGGAAGCCATCTGCTTGTCAGAAACTTGTTAGCTGTAGGCAAAGGGGTTATGTATCTTTTGCTTCTGTGGAAGAATCTGACCTTCGCTTAACTTTGTGATGCTATTTCCCTGGTAACCCGAGAGAAGTGGAAAGCCATCTGGGTTCCTAGGCAATCCTGCATTGGGCCAATGCCTCTGGACTAAGAGGACTGTGAAAACACTAGGCCACACTTCCCTGAGTGAGGCTGTACCCTCCTTGCAAGAATCTGAACCTGTGCTTATTGAGCTGTTGGAGGAGATATTGGTTCCCCTGGAGTGCGGGCTTTGAACTAGGAAGGAAGGCATCTCATGTCCTTACCTTTAAGCTATCACCGGGAAGATCAAAGAAAAACAGTTCTTGGTCTACCTAGTGGCATGACTCCTCTGTGAAAGAGGAGTCTTAGACCCTGCCTTGCTATGTTTTCCTATCTTATATCCTTGTAGGCCCTGGACATCAAACCCAAGGTTTCTGCACAGTGGGCCAGATCTCTGCCTTTGAGCTATAGCATCCTATGTCCTTATGGATCTGCAGCCAAACATAGCTTAGCATTCACATAAGAACGTAATGATGCTTAGTCGAACCCAAGAAAGCTCTGGAGGTGAGCAGAGGAGGAGCTTCTCTGCTTTGTAGGTTTATCTGATACCATGGAGGTTGTCTGACTATAAATGAACACAACCTAAAGCAAAGGGAAGAGAAGCTTGCAGCAGCTTGAGTTAATGCCACAGCAGTGACCACTTTATCAACATGTTTTGGAATGGGCTTGTCTCTGTTCTCTATTTAATTTTTCCCATTCCTTCCTATTTTCCTATAATCACCCAGCTGTACCCAAGTCCTTGCTTCAGCATTTATTTTAAGGGCATCCTTAAACTAAGTCTACAATCTTACTTCTGTCTTTTGCTTTCCTATAGTTGATTTCCATGAATAAAGCTCTAGAATAAAGAAAAAATAATGGCAATAACCGTGCCAACTGAATGAAGATAGGTCAAGCACATCTGCCCTGGATGAACAATACTGTCACTGATGTGTAATTTAGCATGAATCACCCTGGCTTCCTCTTAGCTGCCTGAAGAAAATCATATAGGCTGAGCAGAAGACATCACATAAGCGGGAGGGAAGAGATGGGGAACACAGCATCCCTGAGGGAGCCTGATTGAACCCAGCAGCGGGTACTCTCTAATGCCACTCAGGCCTCCGTGCCTGAGCTCAAAGACATCCCTGTAAGGCTGCCTGAAGCTGCCCAGCTGACACTTCATCAGCACCCACAAGTCACACTCTGGGCACGAAACTCAGAAAGGGTTGTGGTTTTTGTTTTGTTTTTTAATACACGGCCTAGCTAATAAGTCTAGGTAATAAAAGTGGCCTGGAACTCTGGTTATTTATCAGAGTTATGTGTCACAACAAAAGGCTCAAAGACGAAACCCTTAGAGTTCATTACTATTTTAAAAAATCAGTCTGAAGTTGTACAATGTCAACAGATGTGTCAATGAGAAAAGGTCTTTGGACCCGCAGCTGACTGGGAAGTCAAGAGAGAGGTCAGCAAGTGATAAGGACTGATGGGTGAAGGTCACATCTCACCACACTTACTTGCTCTGCCTCCTCCTGGGTTACAGACAAGCTGGAACATGTAAGGTCCAAGAGTTTCTTAGAGTCAAGGGCTGAACTGGAAAAGCTTTCTTGGCACAGTTGTCTGACGACATCTTTTGAGGAGGCCTAGGAGTTAATGTACAGATGGACACATTTACATTACAGTCTGCAGACATTTGTGTTGGTTGTTTGATGATGCTTTTGAGAGATTCTTAACAATGAAGGATCATGGGGCACTTCCGTTTCTGGGAAGATGGATGCGCCTTTCCCTATTCACCCTGCTGAAAACAACTAATATCTCTAGGCACTTAGGGAAAACAAACTCAACCATGGATGGAGGCAGGGGTTGGGGGATGGGGGCCAGACCTGCTAGGATGAGGCCCAGGGAACAACACAGTGATGAGGTTCTTGGTTTCCCTTTGCCTTATTGATCCCAGACCTTGCCCTAGAGAGGCAACCTCCTAAGACAGAAAACTTAAAAACAAACAAACAAACAAACAAACAAACAAAAAAATACTTTAGCCAACAATGGCTATCCCATAAAGAACTGTGAACACACATCACCGGGGCCAGCAATGGCTGAAAGGAAGCCTCACTGTGAGCACCAAGCCCTGTGATGTTACAGCAAGGAATCCCAACATCTCTGCTAGGGTAGTATCCAGGAAAGACCATTGGGAAGCTAGGATCTTCATTCCCATCACTTGTAACAAGCCACACTGCTCTGAGGGGCAGATGAAAGACAGCCCACTATATGAAATTACCTAGCCTGAACAGAGGAAAAACAGACTGAAGCTAATCAAGAAGGCCTTGGGGGCCTGAAGGGCTCCACCAAAGATCTAACAAGGGTAGCACTGAAGTCATGTGGAGAGAAAGTTTAATCCAGCAACATGACTGCTCTGGCAAGGGATCACATCCAAAGACCTTCTAGGTCTATGTGATCCAGTTGGAATGCAGACACACTCTGGATTACAGTATGATCTGGCTGGAATATAGACACCCTCTTAGTACATACCTTTCACCCCAAACAATGAAAGTAAAGTTAGTTTCTAGAAGGAAGCAGCCATGTTTGAAAGTGATGTCTATTTGAGGAACAAACAAAGTGTAGAATCAGAGAAAGATTTGACAGAATGAGTCAGAGATAGGATACAACCAACTCGCCTGAGAACAGGACAGGAAAGAGAAGCTACTTGACTGGGACAGTTTTACAGAGACAGGTTGCAGAGAGAACAAGCCAGACACAGGTGAAGACAGAATGAGCCTGAGAATGAGAAGGAGCCAGAAGAGTAAAACATATTGACAGAATTAGTTTGAGGAGAGGCAGAGAAATTCAGTCAGAATCCAAAAGAAGCCAGTTTGAATCAGTCAGCTTGGAGAAGCGTTTAGGCAAGAAGAGCTGAGCTAAACCAGCCAGTGAGAAGTTAGAAAGAGCTAGAAAGGCTTGGAAACAGCTTGCATCTCATCCTCACATCTGAGGAAATAAAAACATTTACAGTAAATGGAGGCAATAGAAGGGAAAATGGTAGATAGATAGATAGGTAGATAGATAGATAGACAGATGATAGGTAGGTAGGTAGATAGATAATAAATAGATGATAGATAGATGGATAGATATATAGTATTTTAGGAAGTAATAGAACATATTATTAAACTTTCCATGTTTAACCAGACTTAATGGTAGATGTCTCAAGAACCCAAGTAAAGCCTAAAGAGCATAATTTTTAAAACCTCACACCAAGACATAGAAATTAAATTTTTTAAAAAGGTGTAAGTAGTGTGAGAAACACTCAGAATGGCAACGGCTTTCATGTCAGAACTCAAGAGAGGCAAGAAAGCATATTTCTCAGATACAGAATGAATCGTCAACCTAGAACCCTCAGCTAGTAAAATGTCCATCAGGAATGAAAGAAAACCAAGATAATCTGTCAGAATATCTATTATAAAGAATGACTGTCATGTTTTTCAACAGAAAAGGAACAACAGAAGTGTGGGGATCCACTGTGACCTGACTGAAACTATCTTGGGTCCTCACTACCATCCTGGCCCCCAGCAACACTGGCCTCTTTTCTCTGCAGCTTCCTGGCATCCTAGGGACACACAGAACTGTTATGTGAGCTTTACAAGCTGATCCTGGTACCATCCACATCAACAATATGCCTGACACTAGTCTGTCACCTTCTGACTTTGTCAATCAGTGCTTTTATAGATTTTCCTGGAACACAAAAACAGAAAAGAACAAGCAAAGATGTAAAGACTACATTTTCTAAATTACATCTGAAGGCTAAAGCAAAAATAATAATAACTGTTTGGTGGAGTTTTAAGTGTGATGTAGAAGAAAGATTTAATACAAACGTGTTATAACTAGACTTCATCCTAACTGATAAAATGATGACACCAACAGACTGTGATAAAATATATATACACAAAGTATGATTAGAAAGGCTCTGTTAAAAAGATAATATACACGTGTGTGCATGCATGTGTGCATGTGTGTACATGTATGATGTATGTGTATGTGTAGATGTGTGTGCATGAGTGTGCAGGTGTGTGTATATGAGTGTGTGTATACCAGGTGAGGATGTCCAGTGTCCTGCTTCGTCACTCTCCTTATTCCCTTGAGTCAAGGTCTCTCACTGAAGCTGGAAGTGGGCCAGCAGCCAACAAACCTCAGAGATTCCCCCTGTCCCTGAGCGCTACAAGTGCTTGGATTACAGGCAGCTGTGTGGCCATATAAAGCTTTTTAAGTGAGTGCTGGGAATTCAAACTCTGGTTCTCATGCTTGCACAGCAAGCACTCTTACACATTTAGCCTTCTTTCTAGCCCCCCCAAATAGAATTATTTTTAAAATGTTCAAATAACCAGTGGGGAAGCAGAGAAATGTAAAAAAGAAAAATAAAATTAAAAAATGAGCAGAAAAACAAAAAAAAAAAAAGAGCAGATTTAAGTCCTAGCATGGCACTATTTATATGAACTCTACGTGACCTAAAAATTCTAATTAACATAAAAAAATTGGCAAGAGTGGATGAAAAATATTAAATGCTATATACAAGGAGATAGTATATGGGTAGTAAAAAAAAGTAGATGGATGAATAAAGAATGCCATGCAAACACTAATCAAAGGAACGCAAGAATGGCCACATTGATGTTAGATAAACCATACTTTGCAAAAAGAAAACTATCAGGACAATATTATAAAATGCTGCAAGGTTCTGTCTACCAAGAAGACATTCAGGCATCCAGAATGTGTATTCACACAGCACAAGGACTGCAAACTGTGAATTGGAAACTGACAAAAATCTAAGGGGAAACAGGTGACTTCCCAAATGCAGCGGGCACAGCAACACCTCTCCTTCAGCAACTGACAGAACCAGCCAGATATGAAACAGGAAACGAAAGAACTCAGCAACACCATTCATCACTCTAATTGACATCCATGTAACACTTCCCCAGTAAGAGGTCAGGGGAAGTAAGTGAAACAAAGAGCTGGCAAAAGTGACGAGCCAGATATTGAAAGGATAAAGAAAAGCCTACACACAAACCTGATGGCTTCCACAAAAATGGACCCATTACTCAAAACACCATCACAGTGTCCTCATACGGAACAGATACGCGACAGCTGTCACTGTTCAGGAAATTGCATCTACAACATTAACTCAAAAAAAAAAAAAGAAAAAGAAAGAAAGAAAACTCTAGAACATAACATTTTTACTGAAGAATTCTAACAAACATTTCAAGATTAAAAATATCAAGTCTATAAATCTCTTTTAGAAAACAGAGGAGAGGGTAACAGTTTTCAATGAATTTTATGAGCAAATTACCTTAATATCTAAACCAGACAGTCTGGATAGTTACAGATTAGTATCCTTTCATAGAAACTGACATAGAAATGCTTAGCAAAATATTAGCATATAGAAATGTGCAATTTATAAAGTATAGATAATACACGATGGCCAGATGGGATTTATTACCGGGATATGAATCTGGTTAAATATTTGAAAATCTATATAATTCACAATTTTAACAGATTTGGTGTGGGCAGACAATCTCAAGAAAGAAAAATGTTTGATGAAATTAAAGATAAGGGGTTTTTTTTGTTTTTTTTTTGTTTGTTTGTTTTTTACCCAAATAAACAAGCAAACAAACAAACCCTCTCAACTAGTTTGGTCTGGCAGGTAAAGAGGGCGTGTGCTGCAAAGCCTGAGGACCGGAGTTTGATTCCTGAAACCTACATGATGGAAGGAGAGAACCAAGTCCTGCAAGCTGTTTTCTGACTCTATACCTGCATCATGGCACATGCGAATAACACACACACACACACACACACACACACACACACACACACACACACACACTCAAATAAATTTAAAATAAAATAAATTAAAAAATGAAATTCTTAGAAAAATCTACCTGGCATCCTGGGAGGCCAGTGTAGACACTCAAAACGTAGGGGTGCACATCCTATGAAACTGCAGCCTCATAATCCCACTTGGCCAATCAGCACAGGAGAATTGAGGGCTAATAGTTAACAGCTCATGCTATGTCCAGCATAGCTCTGTCCTAACAAGGATGGAAGAAAAAAATTAACACAGACATGTATACAGAAAATGTGGGATGGAGTAGGCTGTACTCACTCTGATGGAGCAGCACCAACCACCATGCAAAACCCTGGACCCAAACCTGTTCGTTACGTACAGCAGGAGAGGGGGGCAGCTAGTCTCCACACTCTCTTGGAGGAAGAAGCTGCAGTGGATGCTTTCTGAACACTCTGTCAACATTTACACACAGACCGAAGGAAGGCTTTGACAATTCCCTGAGCCTGACATGGTGGCCAATTCCCATGGGTCTGAGGCACCGGAGTCCTTGTCAATACTACACACTCACTCAGGACTTCATCTGTTCCTTACATGTTCACCCAGGGCTTCTGTGATCCCTACAAATGTACTAGTTGCAAGACAGTGTCTTGTCCTCAGACTCACCACTCTTCTGAGCAAATTCCTGAGAGTTCCAGAAATAAGGAAAGACAAAGGACTTAAGGCTATGCAGACTACACAGGAAGAATTAAAAGTCTCTGCTAATAAAGATGATTTTCTACATGGAAAGTTCCAAAGAATGTACACATACACACACACACGTACACATACACACACGTACACATACACACACGTACACACACACACACACACACACACACACACACAAATAAACAAAATAAAAAGCCCCAAACCAAAAACATCACCAAAACCTAGTATAAGTAATTCAACACATTTGGAGATACAAAATCAACACACAAAATCCAGCTTTATTTCTACAAAGAGATATCCCTTGACTTAGCACAGGATGACATCCATCCTGTCTTTAAAATACCCTAACCAGGGGGCTGGAGAAATGGCTCAGCAGGTAAGAGCACTGACTGCTCTTTCAGAGGATCCAGCTTCAATTCCCAGCTCTTACATGGCAGTTCACAACTGTCTGTAACTCCAAGATCTGACACCCTCACACAGACATACATGCAGGCAAAACACCAACGCACATAAAATAAAAATAAATAATTATTTCTAAAAATACCCTAATTAGAAAATACATATAATACACCTAACTTATGGAATCCCATGGTTTGGTGACATGGTTTGGTCACAGTACACTGGATAGAGTGAGCTGTTTACACTAAATGCCGCCAGGATCACTGGATGCCAAGGAACTGCCATCTGGCATTTCCAGCATCTCCCACAGATGCTGAAAGCTAGGAGATGATTCAAAGTACTGTTTTGATGCAATGCTATAATTTTCACATTGTTGTAAAACAATTAAGAGTTGAACCATCTTAATTTGGGTGCTATCTGTCCAAGTAATGGACATGTAGACATAATTTTAGAAGTGTCACTTGCAGTTGGTCAAACAATGAATTCTAGGACTTCTGTGCTATGACTACACATTGCAGACAGAAGGGCTCAGAGAAGATAAGATAAATATGGAGACACATCAAGTTTATGTACTGGGAGATTCAATATCCTAAAGAGGGCAATTTCCCGCTAATTGCTACTTATGTTCAATACAATCCCTAGCAAAATCTAAGCAAGTTTGTTTTACATGTAGCCAACAACATTTTAAAATGTATACTGAAAAGCAAAGGAGTTAGAACAGCTAAAGCAATGTGCACACACAAGCATGTGTGTGTGTGTGTGTGTGTGTGTGTGTGTGTGAATGTGTTGGGAGATACATGTGCATATGTGTGTGCATGTATGTGGAGGCAGAAGACTGTCTCACTGTGGGTCCTCAGGCACCAGCTACCTTGCTTCTTCAAACAAGTGCTACCACTGGTCCAAACCAGCCAAATAGCCAAGGCTGCCCAGCCTGCCCCAGGAATCCAGCTGCCTCTGCCTCCCTATATTAGGATAACAAGTGCACACCGACTTTTTCACATGGGATCCAGGTATCATACCCACAGCTTCATGCTTAACATGTGCACGCATAACATGTGATTTACTGACTGAGCTATGTCCCCAGCTAAAGATTTTGAGAAAAAAAGAATAAAATAGGAAAAATTGGTCTGACGTCAAGATTTATTATATAGTTAGGGCACTCAAGCCTGTGTATACACAGAAGGATAAACACAGAAATCAAGGCAACAGAGAACCCCTAAACAAACACACGCAAATATGGCCAAGGGATTCTTGAATTACAAAAGCAATTCAGTGGAAGAAAATTTTCTTTTCAACAAACAGTTTGACATTAAAAAAGCACACTCAAATTAAGTAGCACACACTTCATACAAAATAAGCTCAGTATGGACCGCAGAGTCAAATAGGAAAGACAGACGGCTTTCAGGGTCAAACACTTGCTGCACAGGCCTGATGACCCAAGTTTGGATCCCCAGAACACACACAAAACCCAAATAAGGGCCCGTGCCTGCAATGCTAGGGCTCCTGTCTGAAAATGATAGGTAGAAGGGGCATTCCCAGCTTGTGGGCAGTGAGCCTGGTGTACGCTGCCACAGATGATGAGAAAATCTCCAACAAGACTGAAGGCAAGAACTGATGCCCAAGCTGTCTTCTGACCACATGTACACACCTAAAACCTCACACACACACCCCCCACACACACACCCCACACACAGATCCAAAACACATTTACCAGAATGATTCAGATAGGATATACTGACAACCCCAGATGATGTGTGACGTAGTGCAGGCACTCGGGAAATTTGAAGATGTCTTCAAACCATGCAACTTCCGGATGACCTAGCAACTTTATTTGTAATAGCAAGTACTGAAAATACGCTATATATTTTTCAACAGACCAATGAGCAAAGAAAAATACATTACAGAATACTCCTCAGCAATAAAAAGGAAGCAAATGTACATATGATTTGTATGATTCTCTAGAGTAGTGGTTTCTTAACCTTCCTAATGCTGTGAACCTTTAGCACAGTTTCTCATGTTGTGGTGACCCCCAACCACAAAATTATTTTGCTGCTACTTCATAAGTGTAATTTTGCTACTGTTGTTAATCACAATGTAACTATCTGATATGCAGGTTAACTGATAAGAGAACCCCAAAGGGGCTGCAACCCACAGTTGAGAACTACTGCCCTAGAGAATTAGGCTGAGTGAGGAAAGCCAATCCACAAACATCACTTCCGTAGGGTTTACAAAAGTTCTTGAAATGAAAAAGAATAACCGAAGAACACCAAAGAGTAAAGAAGGCTGGAGGTCTGCTGCAGGTGAGCACAGCTATAAGACATTAACCCAGGGGTCTTACACTGACAGAGATGCCTTGCAGTTTGACTGTATCAATGTAAATACCTCAACTGTGATATTATTCTGTAGATTTTCAGGAAGTCACCATTAGGGGACACTTGACAGAAGGTAAAGGGCATCTCTCTGAATTATTTCTTACAACTATGTGAGGCATTCCAGTTAGCTTTTAAATAAAGCTTATTCAAAAAAAGCAGAGCAATGAAAACGAACGAGCTATTGCTGAAGTGTTCTGTTTTTGTGAAGTTCACATATGAGCAATATTAAGCTGACTGTGTCTGAAGCAATGCACTGTTGGAAAGGCGAGTGGAAGAAGTAGTCAAGGAGCCGCAAGGGAACTGCTCGTGCTTCAGTTTGCGATCTGTTGTTGGCTACATGAACGTGTAGTCATCAAGTGAAGGTACTCATGATTTCTGCATTTTCAATATCTATGCTATATATGCTATATATACTATATACATATGTACATATGTACATAGATACACATATATAGGCATATATGTATACCTATATTTAAGTTTATCTAGGGAAACAGAATGTCCCAAGACAAGCAGGCATGGAGAAGCAATGATTCAAATCAACCACAACGAAGAAGAAAAAGCTGGGAATGAGAATTCTAGGCTTCTAGTCACAACTCTGTTACACGAATGCACCTAATATAGCTATCTCTTTCAGCAAATGCTGGGTGCCATCAGTTGTTCTACTTGTTGGGATGCATTTGGGAACAACAAAGTCAAAGCGTTCTGGAGTAGACCAAACAAATGCATACTATGGAGAGGGCATTAACTGTGTGGCTGATAATGACTGTCACAGGTATCATTTCTGATCTTCAACTGGAGAAGAGAGAAGAAAAGAAAACAAAAGGAAATAGAAGTCATGTTGCTCAGAAGAGACTACAAACAGACCCAGGATGTCAGCTAGTGATAAGTTCTAAGAGGGAAAGAAAAGTCACCCTTCTACAGAATAACTCAAACTTCACGACGACCCCATGTGAGGAAAGGGAGGAGATTTCTCTGATAGTGCGTGCAGAGAGAACAGGATGAAATGGGGAACTGGTGTTTGTCACCCCAATGCTCCAATCCGGAAAACCACTCGTAGTTACTAATTCTTGGGTGCATTTACATCGATTATCTGATTTTTTTTTTTTTTTTTTTTTTTTTTTTTTTTTTTACTTTCTCCTTAATGTCACGGAGAGTTTAATTTCTGTTGCTCCTGATTAAAAGCTTAGAACGGCTGAGCGATTTTCTCACGGTCACACAGACAAGTACTGGCGCAGGGGACAGTTCTCCAAGCCAGGGCCTGTTAATTCCAGACTCTTGCTTTGCACAAAGTCCCAGAGACTAAGACAGTCGCCGCACGCGTCCCCACCCCGGCAAGATACCTTCAGCAGGCTCTGGAGCGCAGCGAAATGCTCCATTGTCAAGGCCGCCATCTTTCTGGAGTCACGTGACAACGGGAGCAAGCAGGGCACGCCACATGACCCCTCCCGGGACATGCCGGGAGTTGTAGTTCTTCACTGTGGCAGTCGGGAAATGGAGTGTTTCAGGATTTGCAGAGAATGGGAAGTCTCACTCCTGCATGGCTAAACTCAAATACCAGAGGGCCGAGATGCTGGGAGAACTCAGATATAGTATGGTTTCCAGGGAGCAACTGGTTGAACTTCCCAGGTCAGGGAAACTGGTTTTGCCTTTGCCTTTTTGTCAGGGAGTCATTATTATTATTATTATTATTATTATTATTATTATTATTATTATTATTATTATTATTATTTGCTCCTGTTTAAAAGCTCAGAAAGGCTGAGCGATTTTCTCACGGTCACACAGACAAGTACTGGCGCGTGAGGCAGTCATCCAAGCCAGGGCCTGTTTATTCCTAAGTCTTGCTTTGCACAAAGTCCCAGAGACCAAGACAGCCGCCGCACGCGTCCCCACCCAGGCAAGATACCTTCAGCAGGCTGCCTGATTTGGGGAATACACTTGCAGGCTTGGCAGGCACCGTAGCAACTTAGATGCCCAGAAGTGATCGGCCTACTCGCCATCTGGATTTATGGAGCTGTGCCTATTTGAATTCTTGGAATTCACACACACACATGCACGCTCGCACTCCAGCAGTACACCTGAGAAAACACTGTGCTCTTAGGCATTTAGTTTCTTCTCTGTTTGTGGAGAGGTAGGGGCTTGGCATTATGATTAGCCTTACCCAGACAGTGAAGCTAAATCACTTAGGGTTCTTAGTAACTTTCCCGTGGTCCCAGGAGAGATTTGGTTTGAAGAGCAGGTGATTAGAAAAGGGGTTAGAAAGGAAGAAGGTCTATGCAAGTGTTTCCTGTCTCATTGCTACTCATCCCAGGCATGCACTCCTCTGTCTGTACTCCTTCCCTTGAGTCTCTTGTTCCGGAAATCAGTGTGGAGGCTCATGCAACAAGGAACAGAGGCCTGCCAATACCTCCTTCCTCGGAGTCAGAACCTCCAGCCTTCAGAGAGTCTGAAAGTGGCAGCAGTTGAGCCAATGGCTTAACTGCAACCTTCTTAGGGGTTGACTCTGATATTTATCTCACAGGTTCAGGCTTTGCTCACCTGGTCTCTAGCTTGTGGGACTGTCTTAAATGCTGTGGAGCCTTTAGGAATTGGAACCTGGCTAGCGAAGGTCCCTAGTGGCAGGCCTATGAGGATTATGCTGTTTCTGGTTCTGGCCTGTTAATGTGGAGTCTTGTCTGTACATTATTGCTACCCTACTCTGCCATGTTGGATTACAACTTCTGAAACCATGAGCCAAAATGAACCTTCCTCCTCTAAGTCGTTTCTGTCTAGTGTCATGCCATAGTGACACAACAGTAACCAACATCCTTGTGAAGCCACTCGGCGGAACTATTCCAGGGTCGCTGGCCTTGAAATTTTGTATGAGACTTTGAGTGCTGCCTTTCCACTTTGTGATTCAAAATGGCTGCAGGCTGTGAGCTCCCAGCATGAGGTACCAACCACTGTTTGATAGCTACTAGGGAAGACTCAAATCCAGGTGGGCAAAGATGCCAGCCAAAGCAGCCGCCAGCCAAAGCAGCCACCGGCCCTGGCATGCATGCAGCCCTCTTTGCTGGGTACCGTATCTGCTTCACCTGCAAGACGGGGAGTGACTCCAGCTTCAAGAACAGACTTCCGGAACTAAGAAAGAAACAGAAATCTGTGAAAAGGGGAGCCGGGCTTTCCACGCTATCAGACTTTAAAGATGCTGGTTCTTCCTTGAATAAGCACAGCTAGATGAAGAGTTACCAGTGAACGGTGGATGTGCTAACGGTGTAGACCGTGGTGTGGGGGCAGCTTCAGCAGCTGCTGCAGATGTGACGGCAGACTCCTCCACAACCACTGCTAACCAGACTTCCAACCATCAGTCAGAGAACTGTAAGTGCTCCGAGCTTGGCTGGAGATGATGTGGGCTGTGCCAGATATATCAACATGATAAAATGTCAATTAAGATGCTTCCAAAAATTCTAAACTTGGAAGCTGAGTAGCTGCGTGGGAATAAGGGCAGACATGCTTGTTACAGACTGTCCAACACTGAAATCTGCCACACTTAAAGTTTACTTTGAGTAGATTCATCTGTCTGCTTTATTTATTTATTTCCAGTGGAAAAGTGCATCTCGAAAGAGCTTTTTATTCATAGATACACCTAAGTTATCAAGCTATCATGGGTTTGAATTCTTTCTTAGGGCATGCAATCAAAATGTAAAAACGGTAGAACGAGTCTCTACAAACTTCATCTCTGTTGCCGTGGCAGTTAACCTGACAGAAGACAATGTGGAGGGGAGGGTTTGGCTTACAGTTCCAGGGTATTGGTCCATCACTGAGTCAGGAACCTGAGACTGTGGTCACACCACACCCTGTCAGGAGCAGGGAGAAAAACAAATGCGCCCATTGCTGCCTGCTAGCTGCTTATGCTCAGCTAGCCTTCTTCACTCTTACTGACTTCAGTGCCCAGCCCAGGAACTGGTGCTGCCCACAAGCAGAGTGGGTCCTTCCATCTCAGTTAAGAACCAAGACAACTTCCCAGAGACACATGCACAGACTAATCCAACCTAGGTAAGTCCTCCAGTGAAACTCCCGTCTCAGATGGCTTTAGGGTACAGCACGCTGACACCTGAAAACCAACCAGCACAATTACTTTGGTTTAAAAACTCCCACTGGTTTGTTTCAAAAGATTTAGGGGCACAGGAAGTGTAGAAGTTATCCACAGAATACTCTAAGTCAGAAAATTGAATAGGAGCTTGTTGGTGTTTGTGAAAACTAAGCATTGAAGATCATAAAAAGATTACTACCGGGTTTTTTTGTTTTGTTTTTGTTTTCTGATTCTAATATCTTGGGCCTCTAAAGCCTGTAAAGGAAGGGGAGAGGAACACTGGGGATTTAGCATGTACTGAAAATGACCCGTAAGTAGGAGATCACTCTTAGGACAATGACCCCTGCTTTCCACTATAGAACCTATTGACTGACGGTGTATGTCTTGTCCATGCCCTAAATAGCCTGATTGCTAAGATTAGTTAAGTTCAGGGCACATCAAGCCAAGAATGACACCATGGCCTCATTTCTCATCCGCTGTCCGCAGGAGTAACAGAGAAGCAGCTGCTAACACAGCAGCATTGTCCCTGTGTTTGTACACAAGCCCCCTTTGTTTCCATCACACACACAGAGCAGTGGCTGGGACAATAGCCTGGAATAACACTGTATCCTCCTTTCTCCAATGTTACACTTGTTTATCAGTTCTGGGATTGGCAAACAATGCTTTCCTGCTGGCAGGGGGCAGCTTTTCTTGTTCTGTTTACTTCTCCATCAGTCTTCAGGGTCGGTGAGTGAGGCCCCGAGTGATCTGGACTGGCCAGATGTCACCACCTGAAGAGGCTGGAAGGACACTGCACCTCTCCTGTGCATGGTAGGGACCACCCTGCAAGAAGGAACGAGATAGGTAATCTGGGAAGCGGTGAAGAGCTTAGGGTGGAGACATGACAGGTAATGGCTGAGGGTGCTGCCCAAAAAGGATGGGACTTGGGGTTCAAGACATCCTATTTCCTTAGGCACCTCTTACTCACACACAGGGAAAAGCAACTGTGGTCAAGTACGGCAGCCCCCCAACAGAGAAGCAGAGCTGGCTTGCTATGTCTATGGGTTTCACATCTGTGAATGTAATCCGTGTTGGATAAAAACAATATCATTTAAATTTCATCTATCTTGATCTTGCACAGACATATTTCCTTGTTCTTATTTTCTGAACAACACAGAATAATAAATAGTTACAGAATTCGTATGTTGTAAAAGACAGCGGTGGTAATCCAGTGATGACTTAAAGTATATGGGAAGGTGTGCATGGTTTATTGGAAAAGGCTGTATCATTTTAAAAATAAGGGCATTGTGCGTTCTCAGATTCTGCTCTCCCCAGGGGTCCTGAATCCAATCCTCTGCTGATGATAAGGAATAGGAACAGCTATGCCTTTAAAAACCATTTTAAAGGACTTAATCATTTTATTTTATGGGTAAGGGCGTTTTGCCCTGTTGTATGACATGTTCTGCCCAATGGCAACATTTTCTCCAAATTGAAACCCGAGCCTCATGTGGAAAACAAGAAGTCTCTGTAGCTGGAAAGAATGGAACCTGGGAAATTTCCAGAGGTCCCCTACCAGCAGTATATTAGGGAGTGAACCACCACGGATGCCTCTGGGACCTCTGAAAAACCAAAGTCTTCAGAGACATGTAGGTTTATCGAAGTTTCTAAGTAGCAGTTGTTAATATTAAGCTCTTACTGTGTGCGCTGTATACATGTAGACATTACTGTGTTATTTCACAGTGTTACGCTTAAATAGTCGTGGTTCCCATTCTCACATAGCTCAAACTCGGGGAGCCTGGTTTTAGAATCTGTTCTTCATCAGGAGTTCCTCATGCTACCAACACACTGAGATCTCCACAGGATTTCACTCGGAGAGGTCGTGTGGTATAATGCTAAGTCTGCGTGCTGAATCCTTTGCTCTGGTTAGATATTGGCTTGTGTCTATTTCCTTATCTATTCTAGACAATAACCCTGGCAAGTAGATACTTTATTACGCCAATTTATTTATTTATTTAAATTTTTAAAATTCACTTTACATCCTTATTGTAGCCCAGCCCTCCTCCCCTCCCAGGCCCACCCTCTTTTCTCCCCTCCCCCCTTGCCTGTTTTTCAGAAAAGGGGAGCTCTGTTTTCCATCCAGCTCAGCTCATCAATTTGCATCAGGACTGAGCATATACTCTTTCCCCGTGGCCTGGCAGGGCAGTTCCACGAGGGGGAAGTGATCAAAAAGCTGGCAAGTGAGTCCCTGTCCGATGCAGTTCCCACTTCCTTTCCTAGAGGACCCACATGAGGCCTAAGCTGCCCATCTGCTACATCTTTTCTTACCCCATTTAGTAGGTAAGGA